GTGTGTGTCTCTCTCTCTCTCTCTGTGTGTGTGTGTGTGTGTGTTACATGTTAACCCTTGGGTGCTGTTCGGGGTCTTTTTGACAGGATAATGAAGTGGCAACCCTTCCACATGTTCACAATGCAGAACGATTAAAATGTGTCATAATTGCAAAAAATGATACTTCAGTAGCCTACAAAAAACTGCTAAACTTTGACAAAGAGTCATTTTTTATTAGTACAATAATGATTTTATAATCTCTTAACATAAATCTAAATAAAATAAAAACTTGTGAAAAGATACCTATACCTATGTGGAAATGGCAAATAGGCCATTGCGTAATGCTCCAGAGCCCTCTGGTGGCTTTAGTTGAAATTTCATGTTTTTCTAATTTTAAAAGTGTCTGTTTTGACTTAAATATATAATTTAAGCCATTATTTTTAAATATGTGACTCATTTTAGAGAAAATATAAGTAAATCATAGAGACAGAAATGTCACTGAATAACAGAAATGACCCAGATAATGATTTATAATTCTGCATTATTTCAATTTAGATCCATGATGAGTTTCAACTCCATTGTAGAATCATAAATGTAATCTGTTTAGTAGCAAAATTACTTTTTAATTGAGTTGACATTCTCTCAGCACAGCAGATTAGAGGCATATAAGCCTTTTATGCCATCTAGTGTTGAGAAACAGATGCATAACCAGCAGTCATTTAGTAAACACTTCTTATCTGAAGTGACTTTTAAGTACCCTTCAGGGAAACCGTAGTGACACTGACATGACTCTTTTATGACTCACTTAACAATATATAAATGGAAAGCTTATTTATTGAGCTTTCATATGATCTATAAATCTCAATTTCAAAAAAATTGACCCTTATGACTGGTTTTGTGCTCCATGGTCACATTTAATAAACCAATTTTAATGCATTCAGTCCTGTCAAGCCAATTAAATCCATCTTTAAATGATCAATCTTCAAAACTTTTCTTCTTTGTATAAATGCATCTAGCTCAATTATTTCCCTTAAAATTCATAAATTTTTAGTTGCATTTATTTAATAGCTTCCTTTCTTTGCACGACTAAAAAAAGAGTCATAAACCCTTATTTTTTTCCAGACTGCTTTAAATGCTTTCAGTTTAGACTTTAACCACGTTTTTTTTTTACTTACATTCAACATTACTGCCCAAACCATGTTTTGCACATTTAACACAACACAGCAGGATGTTAACATACAAACATAACAATTGTTCTAAATGTGTGTGTGTATAATACATATTACACACATACATATTTATATAGTTTTATTGAGTGCTAAAATAACAAATGCTTTAGAAAAAAAAAGCATTTTTTTGCCTGGAGCTGATCCGTGCTGGTTGCTGAGGAAATACTACAACTTTTCAAAATAGTTAGGGAAATAAGATGTGTTTTGTGCAGCCTTTAGCTTCAGAGGCCATATCATCTCATCATCTCCCACGCACAGGAAAACAGCAAACAATACAAGAAAAAGCTAACATGTCAGTGGGTGAAATGAGAAGCAGTTAACCACATCCCTGAATGAGGCCTTCACACTTGCTTTTTAGATATGTAAATTTTAAGTGTGAAAACGTCACCACAGAGCACAAGAAATGAAATGTGTTTTACATTACAGAAGCATGCTTTGCATTTGCACCATGATTCAGTGCAATTGTCAGAGTATTGTCAAAAAGAAAGCATATTTAAACCTATTTCTATTTTCTCTTTTATAGTCTAAAATATATTCTGAGAAGACCTTAATGGGGACATTTTGTAAAAGGATAAAATTAAAACTTTGCGATTTAAAAGAAATATTTTAAACCATAAGAATCGATAGGTGCACAAACAATCAAATATATAAATGTCTTTATTTTCACTTTTATTTTCTCATAAAAAAACATACACAAAACGGAATAATTAGCCTACTCTATATGATACTCTTTCATTGAGCTCGAAGACAAACAACACACTTTTGTTTTAGCCTACTTAATGGTGCACTAAATTAATTTCACCCATAAATGACAACACAAATATATTTACAAACAATGTACATGCAGACGAGGAAATTTCTTTTTTGCTAATTTAACATATTGTGAAGTTGTGGAAGCAATGGAATGCGCACATGTGAGTGGGGCTAGTGCCATCTAGTGGTTGCTGATTTTCTTTGGCTCAGCGGCGGGTGGATCGCGAGCTGTGTGTGTGTGGATTGGGCAAGGCTAAAGGGTGGAACGAAAGTCTCAAAATTCAAATGAATCAAATATTATCGACTCATGCACGTGTGTCGCCTGACCCACAAATGCACATTTTAATCGCTAACGATATATTAAGGCAGAACAGACCATTTTTATTCACAAACATGTCTGTATTTGTACAAATCACTACACATTCATTTAATCCCGA